TCTGTCTTACAATCATGGACTATGATTTAATTGAACCCTTGGATTTTGAGGGGTATAATAATAGTTAAAAAGTAAAATATACTTAGGAAAATAAAAGGAGTAAATAATGTTTTTTTTAAATATGATGTATCTGTGACAAATTTAGACTTCATATTCAAACAAGTTAAAGTATGCTGTTCTTTTTCAGCATGTCCTGAAAAGGCACTTCAAAATAAAATTCAGCAAAATAATGATTAGCATGCTTAGATGATTTTATTTCTTTAGTAACCATGTTAATTTCACAGCTAAATTATAAACTGAGTTTCCCATTCCTATTTTCACTCCGTATCAAGTAACTACATTACAGAGGGCTACTTGCTATGGGAATATGCACAGTATAAGGCTGTGTGCAAGAATAGCTTGGTGCATTTTTATTTTTTTAGTCAGAAAACAAAAGTATTGCTCAAGGATGGGAATGGTGAAAACTATGTTTATTTCCTCTGCTCCCATAAGCACAAGCTATTATGACATGTATGAGCATAAATGCTTATGTGTGTGTGCACGCCTGTATGTGTGTGTGCATGTGTACGCCTCAAAAGTATTTTTAGAAATCATATTGAATGCAAATTAAAATATTCTTTACTGAATCTTCTAATATTCTTTACTGAATCTTCTAATAAAGAAATGCAAGTTCTTTATCGTGGTAAGTAAATTTTTTCAGTTAATATCTAGGTTTTTCTAAAGAGCATGAAATGTGTTATATTTTGAACCATGGCTGGTTTTGGACCAGTTTCATGTCCGAGGTCAACTCAACTCTGCTTCAGTTTTGTTTACAGTTTTGTTTTAAATATCTTTTTTGCTCATATGGGAAGCAAGAATAAATTCTAAGCAGGTCGTTATGGTTTGTCTTCGTCCAGTCAATTTGTATAAAACTCAAATGATAATTTTATTTGCATTAGTTCCATCCAAAATTCAGGTTGTGGATATTTTAAAATTAATTTTAATGAGGATGAATAAAATGTTAAGTCATTGAAGAAAGTAACTGAAGGTATTATTTCCTCAAGGTTACAGAACAGAATAAAAAATATTGCATTTCTTATGTAAAAACATAATTTGATGATTTTTAACATACTTTTTTTGGTTTATATTATTCTTTTTTAATAGCACAATCATTTGTTTTTTTTGAAGAAATCACTTTTAACTAAAGTACTGCATTGCCACTGAATATGATACATTTTTTCAAATATTTTCAATTTGTTCTTCTTGACATTTTATGTTTATGTGCAGTTTGCATCTTTTTTGTTTTTCAATTTCAAATGTAACAGATTTTGACATTTTTGTTACATTTTTTGTGCTAGTGGTTTTTTCTTTTTGAGAACCTGCTGGTTTTGAATTCTCTTTTTTCCCTTTATTCTCCTCCTCAATATGATCCCAGGAGCCAACACAAAGAAAAGCGCAGATGATATAACCAGTAATGATCGTGGTGAAGATGAAGGTATTTTTTGTTTTTTCAAAGCCTGACCCTGATGCATGAACATAAACTTTTCAATTTTTGTTATAATAAGAATGATTATTGTTATTATTATTGCTGTTATTTTAACATGATTTTTAGTCCCTTATTTGCAGAAGCTCACATCAGTGTGCTTCTTTATTTTCTTCTTTAGAATTTCCTTTGATTGTTTTTCTTTTTAAAATCTGAATTAGCATATAGATGACTGCAGTTCCTCCATGACATAGGTGTAATGTTTATTCCTAAATATGTGTGAAGTAACAAAAACGTTGTTTGAAACCACATTTTTTTTTCCCTCTATTCTTTCTTAGGTTGAGAAAATGGAATTTAAAAACATGCATGTGCTCCTTTCCCTCCTACACATATTGTATATTGATTTGTTTGAAATTCATGAAAAAATTCACATATATCTTTCCTTTCACTTCCACTGTTTCCCCAGTGCACACGCTGTACATTGATGCAGTTGAATAGTACTTTGTCTTTGCTATTTTTATTTACTTATTTATTTTTTTTTTCTCACAGGATGTGGTTTATTTCAGGACATACAAATAAAGGAAGCTGTTGATGTTGTTTTATTGTTTATTTTTCTGTAATCAGCTAGCCTCTGAAACGCTTTCATTCTGACTGACCGCGTTCCCACTGAAATCAGTAACAATCATTTTCATTGACTTCTTTCAAAGTTGGATTGGGCTTCCTGAAAGGAAATGCTAAAAGTTGACAGTGAAGTACCCCAGCAAAGTTTTAGATGAAAACACTTTTTTTTTTTCTTGTCTTGATGCAGCAAATCTATTTAGAATACAGCAAAATAGAAAGAAGTCATGAAATCTTCCTCTATTCTCACCCGTCCTTTCCATTAAATTTACAGCATCAGTTTATATGTATTTACCAAATTAAGAAAAAAAACATTTTCAAATTAAATGAGAAAATAAAAAGCCCTAGGTAGTTTATTGGTCTGGCTTCAAAGCAACATGTTTATTAATCCTCTCATGCTTGGCCAACCCAAAGTGCTATTCCACGTCCTTTTTATTGCTGTTTTCTCCCATCTGAAAAAATTTTAAATTACTTTGAAGGATATATCCTCTCTATATCCCTTAGAATCATACACACTGCAGTGAGGATATTATCACCCCTTTTCCTGGGAGTTCAGATCTATTGTAGCTACTCTGGCTATACGTAAAATACCGTAATAAAAACCTCAGGTCTTTTTGATTCACACTGGTTGAACTCTACTACACCACCTTCACTTCTGAATTACACTTTTTCTTACAACACAGAGATACTGTGAAGACCACACTATTAAAATTACTCTGTTATTTTCTGATTTTCACCTTCCTATTTCTGTGCAAAGTAGGCTTTTTTCAAATTATGGTGTTATGATTTCTATACCAAATACTTAAGTTACTTTTAAAGTAGGGCAAATAACAAGCAAAACCAAAATTAAAATTATTTCAAAAATAAATACTGGATTATGAACACATTATTATTTGGCCTTTTTTAAAATTTATAAAATGTTAGGATCTCATGATTAGCAAGGGTATCCACTTTAGATCTAAGCATATAAAGCATCAAGCTAATTTCTTTATGTTGAAGATAATAATGGTCCCATTGAAGGTGAAGGGGAAACCTTCTATTGACTTCATGAGTGAAAGATTCTACCCTGAGGTAGAACTAGGTAATAAGAAAAGATTAAATACAAAAAATTATGCCATGAGACTTTGGGAGAGAAGGGGAAGGCAATTCAGCAGCACAAATAATTCTGTTAAATAATTGCTGCTTTCAGGTTTTTTGAGAGCTTAGCTGTGCATTCAAAGAAGAAGCACTTTTATGTACTTTGCTGAAAATACTGACAATTAAAAAACACAAATAAATCCACTAGAATGTATCTCCTTGCTTTAAATTATCTGTTTAATTGCTATACCACTCTTATAGTCACAACAATTAAAAAGATCTTGTCATAAAAACTTTAGTTCTGCTGCTTGTGTAAAACATTTAAAATACAACATGTAAGGATGTATCTTTTTGTAGAAAGGAGGCAGAATCATTGACAAGTCATAAACTCTGACAAGTAGACAGGTGAGCATTGCAGCCTGGACATTCCTGAACTCAGCTGGAAATCTGTGGTATTTAAGGTAGTGTATACACATGACTAAAGCAAAAGTGAGACACAGGAATATGATAGTCAAAATTTACCTTTAAGTATGCTCTAACTAGTTACACATATATAAAAACACTGACTATCTGGTACCTCGTTGCTGATCACATTTTTTGTCTCAATATTTCCTAACAAGCCTGAGGGGAGGGAAAATGTTTGGAAAGGTTTCAAACCCAGATCCCTCACCTGTAGATGTTTAGCTCAGCTTTTTCTTTCAGCACTCTTCAATATATGCCTATCCAAAATATTTTTTAAAAACCTGGTTGAATAATCAGAGTCTCTCCTTTTCCTTGTGTGTTGTGCTATATACTTGAAAGAAGCGCTCTAATTCCATGCAGATACACTGAATTATTTGTAAAAGATTTGTATATCTAATGGCAGCTTTCTGAATTGCCCTCTATGCAGGAGCTTAGCCTCTCTTCACACTGTTTTTGTAGGGAAGAGAAGTTCCAGATTTAGGTATTCTGAATTATCACTGGCATCAAGAGCCTAACTTTTCAGATTAATCTGGTCCCAAATATGGCCCAATAACTGATTAGCACATCTTTATAACTCACTATTGAATGTGTAATATCAATTTCATTTAACTTTCTTTTAGAGATAAAGACCCAGCTGTTTATCTTTTTAAAAGTAGTCAGGAATTTTCTACATATACAAAATATCAGCAATACCTTTAACTCAAGGGTGTTCTTTGAGGCTTAGCTGCTACCAGACCAGGAAAAGTGAAACACAAAAGACATAATTTGATTTAAATACAAAAAATCTTGTCCATGAATTCACATAAATCCGCTCTGTTTGTTAAGTCCTAAGCTGTTTAAAAGAAAGTACAGTCTACTATATTTTCTTCTCCCAAAACAGATAGACTTTGTGATATTATCTCTTACTGAACTATTGGGAATATAATTTCAATAATTAGAAATTTCCCATGAAAAATGGGAAAGTATGGATCATTACTATAATTTTCTTATTAGATACACAGATATTTCTAAATTGGTATACATTTGAATCCAAACATTCTAAAAGAAAATTCTAAAAAATTCTAAAAAAAAATTCTAAAAGACTTCATAATTTATTTTTTTCGGCTTTAAGATATTTTTATTAAAATAAATTTTCTTGTAATACTGAATGCATTTGAAGTGTTATGAGATGATTTTAGAAGAAATAGTATTTTAAATTTTAAATTATAAATATTAGGCTTGTAGGATGATCCTGAAATGTATAAGCTAGTGGGTATAGTGGTGGTGACATTGAAAACGTAAGAAATAATGAAAACTGTTTTATCATTTTGAAAAATTGATAATGCTATTTTCCTTATGTTTTTATTACTTTATTGTGTTTTCCTTACTTGAACTTTTTCAGACATTCATGATCAGAACAGCAAGAAACCTGTTATGGTCTACATCCATGGTGGATCTTACATGGAGGGTACTGGAAATATGATTGATGGCAGCATTCTCGCAAGTTATGGAAATGTCATTGTTGTCACTATCAATTACAGGCTGGGGGTTTTAGGTAAGTGACTCTTTAGTTCATAGAAATACTTGCACAAAAATATTTGATTGCTGAATTTTTCCACTGATCAATCATAGATATTTGGCTCAGTTTTGATTTTAAACCAGAACAATCTCAATGATGGATTTTGAATTCTGTCCATTTTTTATGGAAACTGGGCTAACCTACATTATTTTTGACAACTACCTTCACCTTGGAGAGAAATGACTGGAAATGCATAATATTTTGAGAACTTGTATCTTTTGCTTAAAAAATTTCCATGTCTTAAAAAAAAAGCAAATAAGAAGGTCAATCAAGAATGAGCACTCAGTTTTAAAACAGTTGGTAATGACAAGAAGAAGGAAAGTGTTATTATTTATCTGTATTTATTATTTTTGTGTGCAAATTGGTTTTTAGAGATACATACAAAAAATGAAAGGCCATATACACTGATGGAATTTGTGTTGCTGGTAATAGTCAATCACAAGGTTTTAAGGTGTACAGTGACATTATCTTCAAAAATATAAGAAAGTCGATAATCATGGTACATAGCATGTACCAAACTTTTGTCAGAAATAAGGCTTATTTCTTTATTGAGAGTGCTTTTCCATAGAAAAATAAAATCTAAAAAATGTGAGAAAATGGAAGACATTAGAAGTATTTGTTATCTCAGTGAAAAAGCTATCTATGGTTTGTATAGAATAGCATACAGAATGTTCAAATGTTCATATTTCTGGCATTTTAGATACACAGGGCAAAGTACAGTAATTTTGTTTGTATCTCTTTTTACAAGGATTTTTGAACTTGTTTTTATTAATAGCATCATAAAAAAATGATCTATGTTCATGACATGTACTGTTTTGGAGCACAGAAGACTTCTATCACTGAGTAATCTGTTCAAGTTGTTCATGTGTTTCAACAACTTTATAGTTCATCAGAGTACTGAGAGTTTTTTTTTCTTGTCCCTGATTTTGAGTATTCATTAAATACAAAAGAGTATTTTTTTTCCATGATGGAAACAGATTTAAATGTAAAGCCAGAAATATAAAAATATATCTTGGTATATTTATGCATGCAGTCTTGGTACTCAGAAACATCCAAACAAAACAAAATAAAACAAAACAAAACAAAACAAACCCAGGACAAATAAGAGGAACCAAAGAACTGAAGACATGAGAAAATAAATCGTTGTTTTGGTTGTCAAACAACATGTATACCCAGAATATTGGTAGTAGTTATTTACCTGTAAAAAAAATTATTTAATGCATCTCTTTAAAAGGTTTTCTCTTGGTTTCTTAAAACTAACATTGTTAAAGGATACAGATGAGTGTAAGCAACTATAACTGGTTAAAAATGTTTCATTGTCCCTCTGTAATTTATAAATCTAAAGGGAAAAGTGCAATATTTGCATTGGTGAACTCCTATTTTATGTATTTATATTGAAAAAAACCAAAATACAAGTAAGAGTCAAAATGCTATTTTTTAAAATTGTGGCATTCAGGAAAAAAGACACAAAATGGGCATTTATATGAGAAACAGGAAAGTAATAGTTGTCAGGATTTTAAATGGATTACAGTGACATTAAATATTGCTTCTCAAAGTGTAACTTTCAAGAGTATGGAACTCATTCTTTATTACAAAAGTCTATGTTTGAATTAGTAAAACAGAAGATATTCAGAAAATATGTAAACACTTAAAAATTGGAGGAATTCAGTTTTATGAATATATTTACATTTTTTCTTCCTGGGTAAAATGTAAATGTGATCATTGAAAACTCATCAAGTTCTCCCTGGACATAGGAGGATATTCTATGTATTTTTGACTTCCTTCATAAGTTAAAAATAAATATAAAGAAAACACAAATTTCTTCAGAAAAACAACCATGTGGAAAACAGACATGACTATTCATAAGAGTTAAAAAAAGTAGCATCATTATTATAACACACAGTTTGAATATCAACAATATTTGTATCCATTTCTTCTAGTATGGGTTACTGAAGGACATATTTCCATTAATCTGGTGTCAGTGGTGGTTGATTTGTAAGTGCATACACAAAGTCAGATAAAAACCTCTTGTTAATCACAGAGATGTGTAATTCTATCACTGTTATCTCACCCTGTAATGAGGGATTATACATTGAATTGATCACAGGGGAAATGCTAAATTCCTCTGGAAAATTCTCACAAATGGACATGAATACTGGATCTCATACTCTCTAAATGTTAGTACTGTTCTTGAAGCACATAAAATTACTTTTCTTTCAGTCTATAGTGTGTCATTAATAGCAGTAGATAGAAAAAGTATTAGTACCACATAGATAGCCACTGGGTGAGCTTAGACAGACAATCATAGAACCAAAAAATTGGGTTGAAAAAGACCTTCCAAGGCCATCCAATCCAACCCTGATGTCATGGGAAGGGACAGCTGTTACATCAGGTTGCTCAAAGGTCCATCCAACCTGACCTTGAACAATTCCAATGATGAGGCATCCACAACTTCTCTAGGCAGCCTGTTCCAGTGTCTCCCAACCCTCATAACAAATAATTTCTTTTGCCCCCTGCCCTGCCCTTGTAGGCCTGGTTAAAATTTTCTCCATCTTTCTTGTAAACACCCTTTGTATATTGCAAGGCCTCAGTAAGGTCTCCTAGGAGCATTTTCTTCTCCAGGTTGGACAATCCCATTTCAGCTTTTCTGACCATTTTTGTGGCCCTCCTCTGGACCTACCTTAACAGATCCGTGGCTTTCTTGTGCTGGGGACCCCAGAGCTGGATACAGCACTCCAGGTGAGGTCCTACAAGACCAGAATATAAGGACAGGAACACCTCCATCAACAATGCTTTTGATGCAGCCCAGGACGTGGTTAGCTTTCTGGGCTGCAAGTGCATGTTTCTGTCTCTTGTCCAGTATTTTCATCCACCATTATCCCCAAGCCCTCTCATTTATCCCCAGTCTGTAAAATACTGAGGTTTCTTCCAGTGCTGGTACAGGACCTTGCACTTGGCTTTGTTGATTTTCTTGAGGTTCCCACTGGTCTTCTTTTCAAGCCTCTCAAAGTCAAAAAGCATGTCATCCCTTCCCTCTAGTACATGAAGAGCAGTACTCATCTTTGTGATGTCCACACACTTCCTGATGGTGCACTTAATCCCACTTTTGATGTCCTTAATGAAGGTATTAAATTTTACTATGAACTATGAACCTTGAAGAGACACCACTGGTTATTACCTTCCGCTTGGGTATTTAGTTGTTGACTGCAACTTTTGAGTACATGGCTATTCAGCCAGTTCTTTATTCATCCAATTGTCCATCCATAAAACTCATATTTCTTCAATTTATTGTCAAGAATGTTATGTGGAATCTTATCAAATTTCTTAAAAACATCCAGGCAGACATAACATCTAGGCAGATAACACAGATTGCTCTTTGCTTGCTACTGATGGAGTCACATTATTGTACATGGCCTCTTATTAGTGTAGATAAGCCAGACATGATTTGCCCTTGGCAAAGCCATAATGCTGTCTCTAGTCACATTTCTGTCCTGCATGCACTTCAGTATAACTTCCAGAAGGATCTTATTTGGAGTGGAGAGGAAGCTGACTAGTCAGTACTTCCCAGGGTCCTCCTAAGTATGTTTTTAAGAACAGATGTGATATGTCCTCAGTCACTGGGGCCTTCCTCTGATTCTCTGGCTTTTCAAATATGGTGAAAATTGGCTTAGTGTCTACATCTTTTATTTCCCTCAAGACCTTTTTATTGGGTCCCATGGGCTTCTGTAGGCTCAGATTCCTCAGGTGTTCTGAAAACTGATCTACTGCAATGGTGGAGACTTAATTCCCCCAATCTCTGCCTGAAAATTAGGAGATTTGACAGATGTAGGAAGAGAGATTATCAGTGAAAACTGAGGAACAAAAAAATGTTTTAGTACCTCAAACTTCTCCATAGAATTTTTCAATAGTTATTTTGTCTTATTTATTGTGGGAAGTAACTCTTCCTTTTCTGAGCAACATGTCTGTAAAAGCCCTTCTAGTCAGTCTTATTCCTTGCCAAATTCAGTGCCTTAGCTTAGGGATATATGCCCCTGGTTCCACTTCCCCAAAGTATGGCTACAACCAAGAAATGGAAAATTCTGGTCTAAAATAAATGAAAAGACAAAAATCTGAGTCAGAAAAAAACTTTTTTTAATGTAGCTGTAACATCATGACATTCAGGGTTATAAAACATTTTAATTGAATCATAGAGAATTTTCATCTCTATCTTTTCTTCTTGCATAAAATATGTCTGTAGATTGTGCACTGATCAATATTTATTTGTAACTCCAAAATACTCCCTGTCTTAGAGGACTGCACGGATGCTCTGGGAATAATTTCCTCATCTCTTTCTCTAAGTAGCACCATGACAAAAGAGCAGACAGATGGGCCCGAGACTTTCCAGCTTTTTAATTATCTCTCTCTTTCCTTTGAGTTCTAGAATTTCCTCTAATTTCTACATCCCCAAGAATGCATGCAGCAATAATATGGGTTGTTGTTATTTAGAAGACTATATTTTCCCTTTAAGTAAATTCCCTTAAATTAAATTCCCTTTAAGTATGCATTTATCAAAATGTATTCCATGGATAGGATACTTTTGGTACGATAAAATAAAAATATTTACATTTTCCTTCTACTTATTGTAGTGGGCACTATTTGATGAGTGCTGTGGTGTTGAGTTGAATTACTTGAGTATTTCAAGGCTTTTGAGGATCCTGCCTTTGCCCAGCTAGGCAGTTTCTGTTTTTACTCATAACACAGTGATGATTAAAGATGCTACTGGAGCTAGAGGAAGCTGCTAAATTGTCCCATTGCGAGGCAGTGCTCCTGTGTATTGAAAAATTCAATACTGTAAAACACAGAAGTACTAAATCTCGTGGTGGTCCCCACCCCTCACTACATGCTTTGTGCATTGTGTAATTTTTTCATTTAACAGATAAGTTTTTCAAAAACTGAGTTGAATGTTCAAAATTCCAAATCTATTTAGAGAGTTATTT